CAAGATAAAGATGAATACAGCTCATAGAAAAGATAAATTTGATTACTCTTTTCTCGATTTTTTTAAAAATCAATGAAATGATGTCTTCAAAAAAATTCTTTAAAAATACCAGTATTTTCTCGCATGCCTTCTTTTAGGTATAATATGCTTAATTCTATTAAGATTCTTTCTTTGTAGAAATGCTTGTAGAAATTTGCTTGAATATTTTTCTTGTCATAACGCGAGTCTTTCTTATCTCGTGACACCCGGACAATCTCGCGTGACTTAACGACGTATGGATAATTAACGTAAAATTCGATCGTGGAAGGTATTTGTTTTTTTCCGTTTGTGTGACTCTCAGCAGAGTATATAAGTGATTGCAAACTCTGTGACAATCTGTTACTTTCAATTGTTACACCGTTATCTGCTGAAAAAGTTAACGATTTTCAAGTGAAACTGACGTCACTAACAACTTATATAAATTTGTAAATAATTGATCGATGAAAAATATATTTTTGACGCAGAAAAGTATCTTTCTGTATATCGAAAGCATTACACCTTGCAATGTATTTAATAATGTATTTTTTGTCACAAAATATTTTAAAAATTAAGGAATCAGATATTTTTGATAACATCCTTGGTATCTCAATATCTTTCCACAGACAAATGTTAAATAGTTTTTCTTCGTAATTAACGTTAATGCGAGCATCAGTCCAACGTACGCTTCGCTCAACCTTCGGGCAGGCATGCTGAAAGCATCGTTAGAATAAAAAGTATCCACGCATCCCGTGATATCGAGCATACAAATATTTCTGCTGTCAACGAGAGACAACGAGATATTCGTTTCGAGCACAAAGCCAAGATGGGCCGAGGGAGAATCGGCAAAAGGTTCCAATCGCTTATATTTCACGATCATCGGTTGAAAAAGGAGAAGCGCGATCCTTCCGCGCGCGCACCTGCCGTGTTGCGGCACCGTAAGAAGGCTTCTTCGTCGGAGAAAATACAGCGGGAACCCACGGATACGAACGAAACTTCTTATTTGTTCGAGAATCTCCCGAGAGTCTGAAAGCCGTGCGCATGTAAATGCGCGACGCGAGTCTTGGAGAGGTGATATTTCGAGGTCCGCTGACGTCGGGCCCCGGGGACCGACGGCTATTGTATCCGCGTTCGCTCGCGCGCGCCCCCTGCTCATTAAATATTAACGAGAGTCTCAATTTCTTCATTTCGTTGATGAGTCGCCGCGCGCCATCCAAGAGAACCCGCATATAGATTGAAAATTAACTTATATGAGCGCCGACAAAATATATACGGCATGCGGTACACTTATACGACTCAAGAGGCCTACAATTTACACGAGAGCTCGCTATGTTGGTATAACCCCTAAGTAGAACCCTTGTCTGCCCCGTCGCACTTCTTCCCTTCTTCTACTTCTTTCTACTTCTTCTCTTTCGTCGTCTTCTTCTTCCTCATCGTCGTCGTATCTTCCTTTCGGTTTATCCGCTTCTGACCCGAACGTGAAATCCTTAAATACCTAATTTGATGCTAATTACAACTTGCACTTACACCTCGCGAGAGATCGCTAAACGCGTATTCGCATGTGATGAGAAGATTTAATAGTGCTCGGGACGTGATATATAATGGATGATGGAAACGTGTCATCGGTAAGACATCAAGGTTGAATCTTTGAAGGTGTGTTTGTATCTTCAAAGGATTTCGATTTTCAACATATTGAAATCTCACAGATTTTCAATATTTACTTGTATGTTTTTCAATATTTACTTGTTAATGCTAAATGCGACTAATAATTTGTAGTAGTTAAGTTTTGCGATTAAAAAATTTTAAATCTTGTAAAATAAATGCATCAAATAAATTTCGTTATGTGTGTGAATTTCATTTCAGAATACAAAGTAGATTGCTTATAAACCTTTGAAGAAAGCTTACAACTTATATATCAGTTGTCAAGTTGGAAATCGAGATTGAAGAGTTGAGTTTCTTATGTTTGTTGGTATGTACTTTTTTCATATAGTTGAAAGAAAAGAAAGCTTTAAATTCATCTCGCGATATAAAAGTAATGGAAGAAAAATAAATAACATTTTTATTAAAAATGATGTCCTGGTAAACATTTCAATAACAAAAGCGCACTACAGAATTTTTATTGATATTTTTGTGTTTAGTAAGCAAAAACGATCAAATACCATCTTATTGGGTTATACAAAATTTCTTTATTTATTAACTAATATAATAAAAATAAAGAATTGTTTCACGTGCTTCAATATATTAAGTCAAAAATTTGGATATACTATATGTGAAATGTGTAAAATTACTTTGTTTAATTAAAGTTTAATTTGATTATCGTGCTTCATTAAAAATCAAAGCGTATGTCTCGTATTATATTGTGCACTAATTGGAACACGAACTTACCTTTTTTTTTGTACAATCTATACTTCTGAAAAGGGACATCAAATTAGAAGAGAGGAAGTTACATTTGAGTCAAGACGTACGTAACCATTTATTATATGATAATAGTTGCACTCGAATGTAGCACATTAATTTGTCTATAGACTTGGAAATAATTGCTTCGTTCTTTAACATGTACGCTTAATGATCGCTATGCTACACATATCTAATGTGCGACCTATTAATTTTCCCTGCCGAGCATTACGTGACGGGATACGTCGTGAAAGATGCCCGTAAAGTGTTTGGACTCACTTTATTTCAAAAGATGAAATAAAAAAAATTAATATAGCAGTTTATAAATACATAGGAGAAAGATATGATGTGTTTTTTTCCGTTATTAATTTTTACAAAAGTACGTGAATACTATTAACCCTTTGTGGATTCGCGATTTAAGATCACACACTGAAAAAAAGATTGGTTGCTGTAATAATTTAGATAGTAAAATATGGTATAGCATTTTTATATGGCTGCAGCAATCAGTTTTTGATTGTAACAGCAAATTTTTAGTTGTGTTAGCCCATCCGCAATGTCAATATATGATTTTGATATATAGTTCATATAAAAATGCTGTGCCATATTTTATTATCTAAATTGGTACAACAACCAATTTTTTCTTTCACTTGAGTGAAACACTTCTTCCGATAATGAAATACGCAGAATTTAAAATATTGTGAAATTAACTATTGACGACTTTTTCTTGCGACATTTGTATGTTGATTAACCTTGTTCATTCTTTTTTTCAATCATCGATAAATGTTTCTTTAATTCCTGCCTATATTTTTAATATTTAATTTTAAACTGTATTTGAAGGGTTAAGTAACATTAAGATTTTACGAAAAATTTAGAGTGTATTATATTACACGATGATTGAAAAAAGAACAAGGTTAATCAATATTAATCAATATACAAAAAAAATGTCGCAAGAAAAAGTTATCAATAGTTAATTTGATTAATTTCACAATATTTCAAACTCTGCGTATTTCATTATCAGAAGAAATATATTCAAGTGAAAAAAAATAAACGAGTAGATTCCTATTATGCGCTATACATTGCCCAAAAAGATCGAATTCATCAAGATTTCGCAAATTCGCGACAATCTAATCTTCGCAACCACACGTGGGTGAGATTGCGTTATTTGCGTCAAACTTGCGTCAAAACACGTGTGTATGTGTGTGCCTCGTACTGCTCGAATTCAAAGATGACGATTTGAAAGGGAAACATGAATGCAAGAACGCATAATGTGAAAGGCTTGATCAAGGCGAAATCTCTCATCCTCCGAATGACACGCGATAATCCGGACCGCGGTTTGCAAAAATATATTATGTCCTTTGAATTCCAGCAGCTTGTTAAAAAATTTTTTTCTTAGCTAAGTTTTTTGGCACGAGCAGAGGAACGCCGTTTTTCCTTTTTTTTTTTAAGAAAAACTTTCATACGTTTACACCACTAATATAAAATTCATAGACAATCGCCTAAATTTTTATCGAGCTTCGCATAATTTTGTTTATGAGATTCAATCTTGTCTTCCAATTTCTAATATCTTTTAACAATTATATAAATTCGCAAACTTATCTTCTTCGTTACTGGATAAAATTAAAATTACAAAATATTATCACATTAACATATTAGCAATCATTGTAAATTATCATCATCTGATTATATGTTCAATTAATGGATACGTAATCTAAATAATTAACTTTGGTCAATTGATAACTGTGCGAAGCTGATAAAAGATAGTCGCGCGCCAAGTTTCGTATAAAATCAATGAGAGGATAAATGAAATAATTTTCCTACATGATTGCACATGTAATGTACGTGTTCATCTGCATGGGCGAGCTTTCATTTAATTTAGCAGCCCTTGTGACATCGTACAGGGTGTTCTAAACAGTTGCATACATAATTAGAAATGATATTGATATATTTCATAAAATACACAATTTAGATAAAGTCTAAAAAATTCATACGATTTCCTCGAAACTTATGAAAGTTTTCAAATATCATTCAGAAACGTTGACAAATCGTTTAAACATATTCAAATGTAACTAACTTAGAAATGTCTAATATAACATTTAAATTTTTTAGATTGGTATTTTTAGATGTTTTCATATCTTTATTATTTTAAAATTTATGTTTATATACCTAAATTTTCAAAATCTTTTAGGAATGCTTACTAAATATTACATCTAAAAATATATATTGGATAGACTGCATAATCCGTAAAAATTGATCGATAAAAATGAGAGAAACAGGACGCGAAGTCAGCTAATATGTTAGTTTAAAGAGAAGATTGGTTGTCTTCAATTCTCTCTCTCTCTCTCTCTCTCTCTCTCTCTCTTTCTCTCTCTCTCTCTCTCTCTCTATCTTATTTTTATTGACACACATTTAATAAATTATTTATTACGAATGGCACAGTCTATGCTCTGTACGACCTACGTCATTGGTTACATCGAAGATGTAAAAAGACTTTCAGAAATATTTAAAACTTTCAACTGTTTCAAATTTCAAAAACATTTTAAGTTACAGATAAAAATTAAAATTAAACTCATCGTATGAAAAATTTATCAAGAAGGAATTTTTCCAATTTTTTTTTAAACACGTGTGTCTGCCATATATCTAGTATACATCTTTCTGGAACACCCCATATGTCGAACAGTGCCCGAAACTCCATCGTTAATTATCGATATAATCGCTAATGATACCCTCTTTGCATACGTACCTAGATTACATTATTACTATTCTCGTCTAGTAATCTTTGGTAAATAATTCGGGTGTGCATGGAACTATGATTATTATCACTGATTATTTAATCATAATCATCCTCGAAGTTACCCGCTAAATTCTACCTGATTAGGCTACCTTCAGAAAAGTCCTCCGACGAGTCACTTCCTTTATTAAATCCGACGACACATTTTTGTCCAAATCTTGAAGAAGGCCAGGCATTTAATCTTGATCGATATCGCGTAAGTAACCAAAGTTTGTTTCCTGCGAGAGATTAAACTACATCGGCTTCCGTGAAATTTAAGTAATTGTTCTTAAAATTAGCACGGCAAGGATCACATTCTAGAAAGAAAACCAGACTTAGACAATCGCTGCCACGATATATTAGCAACGTCAGCGTTCATCAGCGAGATTTCTTGTTAAGACCCACGATGGACGCACGTCATCGACTTGTCAAGTTTCTCCTCGGGGTCGATTCACAAAGATATGCAATAATCCCTCATCCAAGATGGCTGGAGAGAGTACTGTAAGCATCCTCTTCCATTTCAAGCCGTCGTCAGTAGAGATCGGAAAAGGAGACCTGAGAGGAAACGCCTGAATGCAGATGGTGAAGGGCGTGTAACTCCTCCATCGAGGTCGAGGGCATGCTGTTGCTGTCGCCGAGTATGCTGGCTGCCGGTCCGACGGTCGGAGAATTGCCGGTGCTGGAGGATACCGCCGTTCCGGAACAGCCGACGTTGCTACCGGCGTTGCTACCGTCCTGCCGCATCAGATTTCGTCGCCATTTCGCGCGCGCGTTTTGAAACCATACCTAAACAGACGCAAAATCAAGAGACTGTATAATTTTAACTCTTTAACGGATTCTTCAACATCAATCGATAATTGTAGTAATACTTGTTCCAAGAATTCAAAATAGAAAAAAATTAAATAATATGTTTAGAGAGATACACTATAAAAAATATGGATGTGAATTGAACATTATGTGGTGTTATATAATTATCACCGTATTGATCTTGATATAAAATACCACAAGTGTAAATTTAATGCCATATTTTAGAACGGCGAATAATTTAAAAATATTCTTATCGTGTTGATATAAACATCGTGGTGGTGTTAAATCCACTACGTTAGTGTTTATATTTATATGTTACCAACACGGTGAGAGTTATATTTAAATATCTATAGTGTTAAATCCACCCATATTTTTTAGAGAAGTTTTTTTTGCAAGAGTTAACGTAGGTTAGTTAAATTTATACTCTTGCGATCAAAGGAAACTCGTCAATAAAGAAGTAATATCGTCAGTGATAATTGTCTCCTCATAAACACTCCGTATACAAACGGAAGAGCTCGTACCTGTAGCACCCTTTTCGACAGGCCAGTCTTCTGCGCGAGTTGCTTGAGGTCCTTGGCGTCCGGATTCTGATTGATCGCGAAATAATTCTTCATGGTTCGCAATTGGTGATGCTTGAAACTGGTACGCATACGCTTCGTTCGCTGATTCTGATGCACTGGTCCCGGGGAGCCCACGGATGCGTCGTACGCAGCCAGCGACTCCATCGACGAGGACAGCTCCGTGGGATGCAGCAGTTCTGCAATGGCGACGTCCGCTAGAAAGTTTCTCTTTTCTTTTCCTTTTCAGTTTCGCGTCCAACTATCGACATTACACGGGAGCGACATGCGATAGAGGAGAAAAATGGACACAGGATAACGCATTGCACTTAAAAAAGATCATCGAATCATTTCATTCATGCATATAAAAAATTGCAAGCTCCAGAACCAAAAATTTAAAATTTCTTAAATCCCAAAATATTGAATATACAATTGAAAAAAATCACGAAATTTTGAAGAATTTTAAAACTTCAAATTTCTCAAATAAGAAACGATCGATTGTCATGTTGAATTCATTGAAATTTATAAGATATATCCTTTTTTCGTTCAAGAATTATACTGTATAAAAATCAAGACAGCTTCCTAATATTTTATTTCTACTTAATTCTCCAGTGTTCTTTAATTCATGAGTCCATCCGTACCGAACAGTATAACTTCAGAAGGATTTTATCTCCGAGAGAAGTCGACCTCTTTTCGCGCTATTGTCCCTTCCAATCTCGCTAACGTAATTGTGCTTCCCGAATTATCTCCAAAAAAAAAGCGAAATCCATGTGTCGTTGGTCTCGATGAGAAAACGAATTCCGAAGGCGCCGTAGAGCCACATTCGCGAAAACGGTTTTCTCCCTTTCCCCCCCCCCCCCCCCCCTCTTCTTACTCTTGCGTTCTCATTCTTTCTCTTCCTCTCGTTGGCGAACCAGCAGATCGCCGTCCGTTGGGAATGGAAGTTCGGAACAATAAACAGTAATAGTGCATACGTGCTTGAGGATTTACTTCTGGGATCCTCCTTCGCCCCTCTCTCGTCTCGCGTGGTCGCTTCGTCGACTGGAACCCGTTCTTCTCCCGATTGAATTCAATGGTTACCCTCGTCGTCTTATTTATTGGATGCGTTCCTTCATTCTGCCGGCGCGCAACAACTGCAACTGCGCACATAACTGCAGTACGCCTGTCCTCTTTCCGGTGATTCTCTTTCTCCCTTTCCGCGCTTTTTTATTTTTGTTCATCATAATTCAGTTAAATTAGTGCGGGATGGCATGACCGCTAATTGATCAATTAATACGCTTCTTCGTTTAAAAAATGCCGTAGGAAGTTCTTTCCGCGTTTGCGGACAATTATTTTTCTCATAAAATGAGTCTATAAAAAAAAGAAAAGCTCTATTGTACCATCAAAAACCTAAATATACGCAGATTTCATTTTGCATTTACAAAAAACGCAATTGAATAAAAAAAAAGGAAAGACCAATTCATGATTTTACACACGAATCGAATCGAAATTAGGACTTTCCCAGCGTGTCTTTTGATTCCGGCGGGATCTTTCTGTCTGTGCAGAAAGAAGAACGGCTCCAGGCACCAGAGGACAGTGACAGATAGGTATCGGCACTGGGAGATGCATCGATTGGCCGATCTGCCCGGAAAAGAATGCTGCTGTGGCCAATGCGTGGCCACTGCCAGCAGAATGGCCGGCCAGAGCGCTATAATGCCGCCTGCGCAAGTTTCTTGCCGCGCTGCCGGCATCGGAATCCTTCTTTCGTTCTGTCGATTCTCAGTCCTCGGTCTCTCGGCAATTTTGGCCTTCTAACTCGTCCTGACAAATTGTAATCTCATTCTTAAAACCGCCAAATCTATCCTCCCACCCTATTCCCGCTTGGAAGAGGGAAGCTTCCCAGGGCTCGCGTGTGTTCTTCCCTAGTAAGAAAGGATAGTATCTTTCCAAGATGGACCAATATAAAAAAGTGTGACAAGAAATAAGCCAATATTTTTGTTATAAATCATCTTTACATGATAATAATTGTAATATATCGTTTATTGATTTTTAAAAGTCAAACAGTTATATTAAGAACTGGTTGTTCGAATAAACTATTATATGTGATAATTTAACTACTGGATAAACAAAATAGTAAAAGAGTAAGAGAGTAAAGTGAAAAAGATGGAATAAGCCTTAGCCTTAATGATATAAAATCAAATTTTATATTCAATATTTAGGCTGAATTGTTTTACTTTTCAGTAAACTTCAGTTCATTGTCTTATGCTTTTATTTTTTTATTTATCCAGTAGGTAAATTACCATAGTTTATCTGGGATGGAACAATAATGTAGCTGGCCCTTAATGTAGCTGTTTTCATATCACTTATAAGTCAAATTAAACCTGGTATTATTATACTCAAACTATTATATAGCAAAAGTATGTATTTTTTTCCTATAGAAAATTTTGAATTTTTAAATCCTAACACGCAAAGAAAAAAACATAATGACAGCAAATGTAAAGAGACCTGAGACACTTATGTAAATTTTATATTGATGTATATAATTGAATAAATCAGTATGTAATTATTGTAACTATAAAATCAAATTCAATTATGGGCATCCATTCTACGCATGCAATTTGTATTTATACTTTATGGATGCTATTGCTATGTTTCTCTCTGAGTATAGATCGAATCGCTTTGATAACTGTTTTGTAATTTTCCGTTTAGCATAATCTAATACATCAACTGGTCTAGTGTCAGGTATTAGATGTGGTATGTTTTTCGCAGCTTAGGAAATAATAAAATAGTCGGATTTGGAATAGTCGGATTGTCATCTTCTTGTATCTGTACTATTACTACAAGAGTTTCTCTGCGATCCACCGTCGGGCTCGCCAAGGCTCCCATCGTCGGCGTGTCCTTTTCGCAAAAACTGTCCCAATTATATATAAAGACAATAAAACACCGCGAGAGGGTTTCTCCCAGACCGTCTGTTCCCACCCGTGATCACACACGCAGGACTTCATGGACGATTTTATGGCTGTTGGTCGTAAATTCCGGTCGGTAGTCCGAGGAGAGTGATTCTCGCTCTCATCGATTATAAAATAACTGGGAATCACGCGCGACCACCAGTTGGTCGCCATCTTGGTTTGCGCCCGAGTCGAAATGATGTCGTAAAATCATATCGAAACGCGATACGATATGCGCGTCAATCGGCAAATGACACAAGTCATCGAGCGAAGAATCACCATGTTTTTAATTTTTGTCGGTCAAAGTACCGCAAATCCGTGTTTTGTTAAGGTCGTAATGGCGACTTTTAATGCGATAATTAACGTCGCGATTTATATTGCGTCTACACTCAAAGTCTAACCTACCATGCTGATTTTTACGAAACTATATACACTATAATTCTCGCACGATTTTCATCGCACTGTAACTTCACTATCATTTGTTATCTATTCGAAAGAAAGAAGAAATGAAAATTATAACCAGACGAAATAAATGCCTCGAAATCATGATATATATATAGGATCTTTATTATCAGGGATCCGCACTCTGAATCTTTGAGCAATTAGACATCTGCGTAGCGCGCGAGATTTCAAATCAAAGATTATCGCTCGCCAATGTCGAATGCTCCAGTTAACGAGTCGAATAATCGCGCAAACGAAATGAAATAACATCTGCGATTCTTGCAGGCTCGAGCAAATGTTTGCACGAAGGAACGCCCCATTATACTCGATGCTCGGTAAATAATACAACTCCGCCGATTAACTCGTTTGCTGTAGCGTAGAATAAAGAGAGGAAGAGAGAAAGAGAGAGAAAGGAGGGAGAGAGAGAGAGAGAGAGAGAGAGAGAAAGAATCAAATGGAAAAGAAAAGAGTGAGAGAATCAGGCATCACAAGTACCAAAATTGAATACCAAACTGAAGAGTCTAGGGGTAACTCTAGGGAAGAAAAAGGGATGCGAGGGACGATAACAAGATCGTTCACGATCGATACAAGATTGCGGAACATACATTGGCTTGACTCACCGAGCGCTCCAGCGGCCAGTCTCATCGTGACGGGAAGCTCGGAGCCGGTGACTTCTGACAGTTTCCGCTTCCGCGGTCGGCCTTTCTGCACCGTGCCGGAAGTGATTGGACTTTGCTCGTAGTAAGCCGGAAGCGGCGACACCCCTGGCGAGCCGAGATCTTCGATACTGCCGGCAGCACCCCCGTAATCGCCGGCGCAGCACAGCAACTCGTAGTGTGGTCTTGGGAGCGACGTGCTCGTCAGTCGTCAACCTCTCTGTCAAGTAGTCGATAGACGACCTGACCTCCGCGTTATACGTTCGAGTTCGATGAACGAGTTCGACTCCGTGATACCACGCGGGGGTGGGATTTAACGAGCGGCAGGGATCATCGTTAGTCGAGGAATAAGTCGAGGATTAAATCGCCGAGTTGTTGGGTAAATTCGAAGCATCTGGTTTCCTCATTGCGATAAAATCTCTCGGTCTTTAGAGTCGCGAGAAATTTTGATAGTTAGAAAATTTTATAGTGTATTCTTCTAAATCTTTTGGAATGAAATCTCACTCTAACAGACTGAAAATTGAACCAGTCTTGAAAAAAAGAATGGCAGATTTTCACTCTTTATAGAAATGAGATTTCCTTTTTTTGAAGTAAAAATCATTCTAAAAAATAAAGTTTTGTTTCAAAAAAAGATTTCATTTCTTTGAAGTAAATTTTACTCCAAAGGAGTGAAAATCTGCCACTCTTATTTAAGAGTGAAAAGTTTTCACTCTTTTTCTGAATTGACTCAAATTTCATTCCAAAAGATTTAGAAAGTAGACAATTTTAAGATACATATTTTATTTCGTAAACGTTTAGAAATGGAAGAAATCATGGAATGTCTCTCTTAAATCTTGATATTATAAATTCTCATTCTCACGCCTCGCGGTGTCTGTCGTCGTGGTCATCTTCCCGGAACCCGAGATCAAATCGGTCCATTCCAATAACCATCATTAGCACTCAACAACCGTCATTAGCACGGAGGGATGGTAAAGGGGAGAATGACTCGATGCGACAAAGCGACTCGTGCTCCTGTCAACCTCGTCATCGAACTCGTTGATAACAAGGAGAGACGGCCTTTGAAGGATAGTAATGATCAGACACTCTTGTTTCTCACCTACAATACACCAGTCCATCCCGCTGGCCAAAATGATCGCCTTTGTTCAGTGGGGTGCCGCACGAGGCGCAAGTGAAACACGCCACATGATACACCAGATCGCGCGCTCGCATCACCAATTCCGAGGCGGAAATGCCAGCGCGACATCGGGAGCATCGAGATACCGCAAATAATCTGCAATTGCAACAATTCAAGAGATTTATTATCTTTTGGTGTATGAATTTTCAAATTTCGCAAGGTCAAACTTCTTTAATATTTCTAGTTATTAGAAGATTATCTTACAAGAAATTGGAACAATATTTAATACTCCTCGAGAAATTTGTTAATCACAAAAATCTAAGAGACACATATATTTTTATATATATCCATTTATTTATTTAAAGGCTGAAATAGTCAAAGCTAATGTTTATATTTCATTCTAAGCAATTATTGTCAAAAGACAAGATGTAAAAAAATATCTTAGACAGCTTTTTTATGTGGTTTATAATTGCATTTAAAGGTTCAAAACTTTAATATTTTTTAAAATACTCTTATATTCCCATTATTATTTTTATAAAATTCTGTTTCTATAAAAATTAAAGTCCAAAGAAAAAAAATTTAACCATTAATGATAAAATTAGTTTTCAAATTACATCGTTGAGAGAATCTTAAGTTGTAAAGTATATTAAATAAAAACTACAAAATTATTTACAACTTTTGCATATCATTTTGACGATAATTGGTTAATATCTAATATAAACATTAGTTTTAAAATTCAGTTATTTTATTCCTTTAAACTTTAAAATAGACACATAAAAAATATTCCTGTATTCATATGTTTCAAAATATATTTTAAGATTTAAATCGGTTATAAATAGTCGGAAATACTTATTATACACAAATTGTCTAATAATAAATTAAAATATTTTAGTATTTAAAAACATTCACAATTTGACTGAAACTTACAGATTTCGGAATTTTCACTCACACGCTTTTAAATTGGTTAAATTATTTATTTCACCCGTTAGTATTAATTAAATGGCAATTTGACTGAACAAAAATTTTGAAGCGCTTGTTTAACTCGTATTTTTTAACAAGTTACATGCACTTCTAATTTTATTAATTTTGTCTGAAAGTTAGAGAAAACTGGATACGCTTGAGAATCTAACAGTACATTATATGGTTTCCACATGTATGTGTTCGCGAATGTATTGCGAATTCCCGCTTGAGGTGAATTTTGCAAGGGATCGAACCAGACCATTCACATTCATAGATGGAAACAAAGGGCTCGCGTTGTTGCATATTGCATGTAGAAGGACGGCTGTTGAATTCCTCCCCTGCTCGCTCTAACGAACTCGCCTCTCGGCCTTTCATTCCACCCTCGCATTCTGAAATGTCGAATGTCATCGCGTAAACGCGCTATTTCCCGTGATAAATAATATTTAATTCTTTGCTTACTACATTATTATACAAGACAAATCGCGTTCCAATCTTTAGCCTCTCTGAGATTTGACGCTACGAATGTTAAATCTTTTATTATAAATATCAAATCTTAAAGATTTGGATGTACTAAATTTTTTTAATAATAACTTAATAAGCGATACTCTTTTTAACATCTCTTTCATTTTTCGAAATTGATTTTCTTCTCGTTCTTCTTATGATTCTTCACATTCTTTATTGGCAAGTATAGCACCGCGCCGAGCACGGAATTCAAGACCATATTCCTGAATAAGGACTAGAGCTGTGTATTTGAGTATTTGGAAACAATTATTAATGGACATTTTATGTCCAAAGAAGAAGACATTTTGGTAAAAAAGAGGAAGGGAGAACAGAGGATGTTTCTTGTATGTAAATTCAACGCTATCTAAATAGACGCTATGAGTTTCGGAAAACATAATTTTTTTTAAAATAGAAATGATAAAGTTTTTCGAAAAATATATGAAACAAGAAAGTATAAGCTTTATATTTTAAAAACATTTTGTATTTTTATTAAATTTGGCCCTTGCGAAAATCTTTGTGTTCATTTTTCAATATACTCGAGTATTAATTTAACATAATGTGACTATATTGTTTAAATATTTTTTGAAATTAATATTTAATATTTCTTAGTGTTAAAATAATACAATTTATGAACAAATAATGTAAATATAATATTAAAAAATAAATTTTAAGATAAATAAATATAAAAAATAAATGTACATTTTTTAATTCAATATATTATTAACATTAATTTTATTGAAAAAATATATTTTCACAATTTGTTTCCAAATAATGTCAAGTATTTCTTGTGTTAATTTTTTATAATGTACTATTTTCTGCAT